CTTTTTAGCCCTTAATCACAATTAAAAACAAGCTGTAATCCTCACTAAAATGTGAGATCTGGAAGTTCACAGGCATCTCTTCTGTTCATGGCTGTATCTCGTCCTGAGAACACTGTTGTGCTCTTAGTGGGACACAAATATTAAGCAAATAAGGAAGGAGAGTCAGGGTCCTGGCCCCATGGGATATTGTCAGATAGTGACGTTTCTGTTGCTTGCAGGTCCGTGGGGCCCGAGCTGTCCTGCAGCTGTACCCTGAGAACTCAGAGCAGGTGAGTCCCTTGGCTTCGGGAAGTGCAGGGGAGGGGGAGGAACCCAGAGCAGGTGTGATGTTCTTCCTCTCACTACCTGCCCTTCTGCTCTTGGGAAGTGACAGAACAAGGAACCTTATGCTGATTGGTGCAGAAAATAGGGAATGAGCACCCCAGAGTGGTCCGTGTGATGCCACCCCCCCAATGGCACGTTTTTGTGATTTTCTCAGGAAAGGGTGGTACCTGCAGGGCTGGGATAGGTGGTTTGTGTTCTCTTGATAGGTAAGATAGTATTAACAGCTAAGTTAGTAAATGTGATAGATTATTGATCTCCATAAGCAAATAAGCATAAGTGGGGAGGTGGGGAGACAACAGCACAGGCCTCTGTTCTGCCAGGGGAATGAGGAGGTGCCAGCTACAGACTCTGGAACATAAGTGGTGAGTTGTCCCTGACTCATACCACCAATGAGTCTGCCTCCCAGGTGGTGGCAGAAGTTTATTTCCTGAGTGGGCTAGGAAGTAAGACTTGGGGGGAATTGCGTGTTGTGCATGCCCCTGAGGGGAGTATATGCAGCGGCTGCTTCTGGCCTGTCCTTGCCTCTGGCTTTTAGGGACGCAGAACTGGGAGTAGTCTGATAAAGACGTTCGGTTCTCCCAGGTGAAGTTCATCCTGGGACTATATTGGCTTCTTGAAGGGAGTAGAGGGAAAGCTGTCTGCTCCCTCGGCCTCCCTGCCTGACCCCCTTGCTGTTCTCTCCTCAGCTGGAGCTGATCACCATCCAGGCCATGAAGGCTGGCTTCACTGGTGGGGTGGTGGTGGACTACCCCAACAGTGCCAAGGCAAAGAAGTGAGTGGGGGTGGGCCAGTGAGCTGCCTGCGCTGCAGAGAGAGGGCAGAGGTGTGGCCCCTGATGGCCCCCGAGGAGTGGGCCAGCATAGTGCTGGGCTGGTCTTGGGGGCCTCCCTCTCTGCACCTGTCTGGGAGGGAGCATGAGGACCCGTTTTGCCTTGCAAAGCTTTGTGACCCTGTCCCTCACTCTGTACTTTCTCATTGTAGGTTTTACCTCTGTCTGTTTTCTGGGCCATTGACCGTTATGCCACCGGTGAGGGGCCTTGAGTTTGTGGGCCATGGCTTTTGGCTTCCTTTCTTGTTGGGCTTGGCCCAGTACCTGTGGAAGGGCTCAGGCCTGGGTGCCCAGACCTGGGGTGTGGGGTGGGGCAGATGAGATGAGAGACCTTCAGGGTGATCTAAGGGTACTTGGGTTCCTGTGCAGGGCCTGAATGGGAACAGTGATGAAGAGGAGGGGGCCATGGAGTCTGTGTTCCTGAACGAGAGGTAAGGCCGTCGTTCAGCCCTGCCTAAGGGGCAGGGAGTTGCTGATGCTGGGTCCATTAGTAGATGTGGCAGAAGGAAGGTGCTGGCAGCAAGACGACTCATTTCTCTCTGCTTTTACCAAGTCTCACGTTCAGAGGCAGCAGTGACGCCCAGGTGGTAACAGAACCAGGGAACCCTGGCTGAGGCTGCCTCCCCCACCTTGGTCCTGGACCCCATCCCCTCCTGTCTCCCGTAGTTCTCCTTCCTCTTCCACATCCTCGTCTCTCCTCTCCTGGGTCATTGCGGTCAGTGCACAGACGTGCTGCACAATTTCTCCTGTCTACAAAAACACCCTCCTTCAACTGCACACCAGCTCCTGGCTACACAGGCCTGTTCGCGAGCCTCCCCTTGTAACAGAGCTCCTCATCCTCGCCACCTCTGGCTGCTTTGCCACCAGTCCTCTGCTCAGGCTTCTGATTTGGTGCAAATTGCTCTTGTCAGGCCACCACCAACCTCTTGGCAAATCAGTGTTCACTTCGTAATTTTTCTTCTGTGCCTTCATCTTAACTTGAATGGTCAGCAGAAGCTGACACAGCCGATCACTCCCTTCATGCTCTCCTCACTTGGCTCCCCTTCCTGTCCTGGTTGTCTTGTGTCCTCTCTGGCTATTGCTTCTCACAGCAACCTGGGGCCCAATCTGGTCCCTTCTCTCTCTGCTGCCTTCGATGCAAACTCTAGGTTCGTAACTCCAGATGTATATCCTTGGTCTCAACCCCACCTCTGATTCTGAACCACCCCCTAAGTATCCTTACCTTGACTTTCCACAGGTGTCTCAAACAAAAGCACTCAGCCTTTCACCCCCAAACTAACTCCTCCCTTCTCAGTCACTCCATCTTCCTTAATCTGCCCTTCAGGCAGTCTGCCAGCAGGTCCCGCGCTCACAGCCTCTCTGTGTAGCCAGTCCCAGCCCTCTTCCCACTCCCACCTGGGTCACTGAAAGCTGCCTCCCTTGTCTTTCTGCTCCCAGTCTTTGCCTTTTTGAATTTTTTTGCCCAGCAGCAAGACTGATCTTTTTTTCCCTTTTAAAAAAAAGTACATCCAGTTTTGCCATGTAAGCCATGTATCTTCAGTTGAGTTCTCCTTACCTTTCTTGTTTCCCTTGCTACCTTTCAGGGCTCTAAATCCTGTGTATTTGTTTACTTGGTTATTATTTGTATCCCCAGCCAGAAGGAAAATGGGAGAAGCTGGTATGATGTAACTGACATCAGGGTAGTATCTTGTTAGAGGTATTCTATATTTGTTGAATGAATAATTGTAAGGTAGCAAAGGAGTTTCTTTTTTAGTTCTGGTAGAAACGAGTGAGGTCTTAAGACTTTAAAAGACACTTAGGAGGAAAAATAGCAAGAGAATAGATGAGTTTGAAAGGCCCGTGGGTTGTGAAGATAGTGTGTTCCTCATGTCCACCTCAGGTTTATGCCCTATGACCCTGTGGCCCTCCAGGGTCATCTCTCTTAGCTTCCTCAGCCCATTGCCCCTGAGGTTTTGGGGGCTCTTCTAGATGTTTTCTGCTGTGAATTGCCCACCCCTTGCTCCCAGCGGGTGGTTCCCCCTGCTGCATCACAGAGGTACAAATTGTTAATTCCCTCCAACCACCTTAGGATCCTTCTGGTTCTCACAGTGGTACAGATGGCATGTCTTAACTAAATCTGGGTAAGTTGTGTGATCTGAGCATCTAGTTCTCATCTGTTTAAAGGAAAGGGAGTATAAGGCCACCGACTTGGGTAGCTTGTTAGGTAGAGTTTATACAGGACTCTGCAACAGCGCCTGGCCCGGGCTGAGTCTCCCTGGCTCCACAGGCTCCTAGGTTTCAGTCCTCAGGTGTTGGGAGGGCCAGATGCGGCTGCTGTCTGTCAGATTAATTGGGTTTTTCCTGTTACTCTCACTGCTAATCACGTTCAGGCCACTTAAATAGTGAATTAAGGAAGGTGAATTTTTTAAAGTTCTACTTAATCTTAGATCTCTAATTTTTTTTAATATAAATTTCGCTTCACCTGTGCCTGCCTTAATCCTCACCACCTGGCCTCTACCCTGCCACTCCTAAACCAAGGGGTTTGCCCTGCTGACCATTTCTGCTCGGCGCCATTGGTCCGGAGTACTCAAAACGCCTTCACCTGCTCCCTTTCTCTCCCTGATGACTCTTTACCATTGTTGTTGTATGGCTCATGTCTTATCCCCTACCTGCTACCCTGCCCCACAGCTTGTCCTTCCTTACAGTCTCATGGGAATTGGTCTTACATGTCCAGTCCCCAGTTTGCACCTGGCACATCAGACGCTGTCCCCCAGGTGTAGGAGCTCTGGGGTTTCTTGCGTGAACTGCTGCCTCTGCTCACCCTGAAGTGCAGCCATGCTGTGTTGTCCCTTTGGGGTAAGATGTCACCGCTTCCCTGAAGGGAGAACACATTCTTGGTGTTCTCACCTCTGTGAACTGGCCCAGCCAAGTGACATTCTGAAATTTTTTTAAAGTTTTTCTTTGATTAAAAATATGCGTAAAGAGGAAACGGCAGAGTAGGATCACTCCATCCTTGGTGGACCCCAGAATCTCACTTCCATCTCGACTTTCCCCTTTGGGCCTTTCATGGAGGCCCTTGTAGGTATTCTTGCCTGGATGCTGCCCCCACCTCCTGCATGTAGAAATAACCAGCTTGTTTGGTTTTGCCCAGACCCTGTGCTCTTCGGCCTCCTGGTGCTGCCTTAGCAGCAGCTAGGTCTGTGTGCTCACTTTGCCTGGGGTAGGGGGTCGTGGCCACCCCCCAGTCCTGGGCTCTTCAAGGGCCCAGCTGGTTCGTGCCTGCTGTAGAACATCCCTGGGCCATGCATGCAGGTGCTCAGGAAATGGTGTGCGTTATGCTGGGAAGTTGGGGATCTGGTTTGGGGGCCTAGGCCCCCGTTCTCAGGCCTTTTTCCCACGGGGCTGTGGCAGGTCCCTTTTCTCCTCAGCCAGGGCTAGAGGCCAAGATCAAGTCCTGAGGATCATTGTCGGGGCCGTCATGAGCTGGGCAGCCTTTTTTTCCTGCCTCAGACATTTGTAGTTGCTGGAAGCCCCTACTGGGTGTGTACCAGGCACACTGACCCACAGCCACAGAATGGCCTTAGGTGGCTGCACTGGGCATGGGGCCTCTGGCTTGGCTTGGACAGTATCAGGTATTTGGGAGCTGATCCTGGCCTGTGTTGCCCCAGAAGTAGTTTGGCCCCCGCCTGCCCCACAGGCAAGTGTGTATGCACCCCAACAAGGAGTCATTTTCCCCAAAGATGCGCAGAGTCGGCATCTTTGTGCCAGCTGGGTGCCAGTGGCATCTGGGTGCCAGCCAGGCGGGGCTCCATCCATGGGCTCACAGCTGTGTCTCCCGCACAGGATTCCACAAAGCACTGGAAAGCACAGGGTGATGTGGAGGAAAAGGCGTGAGTGGGTGCTGGAGAAGAAGGCGCGCTACAGGCGTCAGGGCAAGTGAGTACCTGGGCTGGACATAGGCTGCTGGGGCAGTGGTGGGTGTGGCCACTAAGGTTTCACCTGCACTTGAGAGTCCCAGGTTCTCGGTGCCTTTCTCTGAGCCTGTTCTTCCTGTTACTTGTTCATCACAGGGCAGTCAGACCTGACACTCAGTACACTGGCCGCAAGCGCAGGCCCCGCTTCTAGGCGTCAGCTGCGTCTGACCGGACAGCTGCGGCCCGCCTCACTGCTGTGCCAGCCAGCCCAGGCAGTTGCCTCAGGGAGATTTTCTGTGTTCAACTGCTACTTCATCAGATAAAACTGTTTTGGAAAAGTACTACAAGTTTTTCTTCACTAAAAAAAGTTATGAGAGCACTTTATTTTGTTCTGAAAGCAATAAAAAAACTTTCTGTGGAACTCTGTTCTAGCATCCAGCTCTGTGGTCCTAAACAATTTATCCAGTTCCTTGTTGGTAGGGGTTCCCACTTGATTCCCCAGGTACAGATTAAAGACCCTTAAAGTGTAGAAGCACTCAACCCACAAGGAACACAAGTAAATTAATTTAGAGCTTCTCATGTATGTTATATCTAGCCATGTTACATTTTATAACATCAGGCACAGGTGGGAAGGATGGGCGGGAGGAAATGTATCCATGGCGCCCTGTGGCTTAAGGCCTCAGTCAGTTCAGTCACTGGTTCCCCTTTGGTCTGAAGGCTTATCCAGCACAATGGCCCAGGCTCACCTGAGCTGCATGGGCTGCTGCTGATCAGCCCACTATTTAGCTCCCTCAGAGGCCTGTCTCCTGTCCTGTCTGGTGGTCAGGAGGGCAGGTCCCGCCTTGGGGCACGAGGGACTGTCAGTAGGCCCATACGGGGGGCATCCAGTGGTAGATGTGGGCCTGCAGTGCAGAACAGGTGCAGACATTCAGGGCTGTGGCAGAGGGGCTGAAGGGGCTGGCAGGTGAAGGCTGAGGGGGAGGTTGGGATGCTTTGCCTCCAAACCTCTTTTAGGGCCACACACCCTCAAGTTCTCATGGCATTACAACAGCAAAGATCTAGTGCAGAGGCGTGGTACAGATACAAATGTTTATTCTACATAAAAATTTCACAAAATGGGCAGCTGGTTATACCAAGACCTTTGGTGAAGGGGTCGAGGGGAGAGCTGCTGTGAAAGGCAGCACAGACCATGGTCAGTCACTGGGCAGGAGCGAGCTGAGGCGGCTGGGCAGACGCGGCCCCATGCCCTGCATGTACTCGCATGCACACTCTGCCTGCTGAGGAAGAAGGGTCTTGGGGTAGGGGCACGTTTCTGATTTGAGAAGCCCAGAGATGGTGGGGAGGAGAAAGGTGCTCCTCTCCGGCTGGCTGCTGAATACTGCATCCAAGACACCTGACACCCATGTGGCACATCAACGGGGACAGTAAGGGTGGGATGTGATTGCAAGCCTGAAGTGAGATCTGACTTCCCAGAGCACAAGAGAGCAGGGACACTGTCCCACACATGCAACATACGATGGCTTGAGAACTTGACCAAGGACTGCCAGGGAGAGTGGCTGGCCCAGGCTGTGGGTTTCTGCCCCAGCAAAGGCCTGGGGCCTGCTCTTGTCTCCCCAGCTCAAGGGCAGCTAGAGACCAGGCAACCAGATGGCCTCTTCCAGAATGTTACCTGGGCTCAAGCATAGCCCAGAGGGGTTGCTCCTGGGACAGCAGGAATGTGGGAAGGGAGGCTGAGGCAGCCAAGACCTAGAGGACTCTGCCCCTTGGCAGGGAGGGAGCTTGGTCTTGATAGGGCCACGGCACCTGCCTCACCTGCCTCCCTGGCAGTGACTGGCTCTTAGAGGCTTAGGGCTGGGCTGCCTCTCAGGGCCACCCTTCACCTAACCTGAAAAGCAGCACCATGTGGCCAGCTGGCCCCCACCCCTCAGGGGGCTCAGCTTATGGGGACAGCTAGAGAGGACAGAGGTCAAGGCAGATGGGCTGGTCAATAGGAGGCAAGGTGGGGGTCTAAAGAGAGCGCTGATCCCAGAAGAGAGCAGACCCAGGCTGGAATGGAATTACCGAAGGCAGAGGAAGTAGGGTGAGGACACCCTGGGCAGCCCTGCCTGGGAAGGGCAAGGTGGCCTGGGCCAGGGGCCTGAGTGTTGTCCCTTGCTGACCCATCCCTGCCCCTCCAGCTGTTTCCCAACCTAGCTTCACTCTGCCTTTCTGGACACACACATTTACAAAGATCATGCACACGATGGCTCAGGGCAGGGTAGGTATGAAGGGCCCTGTGGCAGAGAAAGGAGCAGTACAGGGTGGGAAGGAGGGGGCTCCGAGTCAGAAGGTAGCAGCAGCCAGGGGGCCTCCTCAGGGTGAACCATTCAGAGTGGCGGGTGGGCTGGTTCCTACCCGAAGATTCCCCCAAAGGTGGAGGCAATGACAATGCCCAGGACCACACAGCAGATGACGATCATGATTTTCTTCTGCGCCAGGGAGGCAGGAAGGAGAAGCCTCAGTCAGCTCACGGGAGGGGCTGGGGGGGTGGGGAGCTGCTATGTATACATGAGGGTGAAGGGGCTGAGGGCCTTGAGAAGGGGCATGAGAGTTGGGGATGGAATTGGGGGAGGGTGACAGCCCCAAAAGGGTCTAGGGAAGTGGTTATTATGGGGAGCAGAAGGCCTGGGAGAGGGGTGAGAGCTCTGTTCAGAGCTGAGAGGCGGGGGAGGGACTGTGACAGGATGGGGACTTCAATGGGTGCATGGGGGATGGGAGCTCAGGGCTGGGGCTGCTCACCCTGCGTGCCTTGCTCTGGTACTTGACAGCCTTCTTGGTGTCAGACACGGCCCTCTCCACATAGTCCACAGAATGTTCCACGTTGTACTCAATCCTGTCAATCATCTCCCCCTGCAGGGCCCAGGCACCAGAGTTCCAGAGGGCGCCCCTCAGGACCAGGAGGGGGCTCAAGGTAGGACTTCAGGAAAGCACCCTGAGGGGAGAGAGAGTAAAGGGGTGTGTGTGTGAGGAGGATGGGGTACAGCTTCTCACCTGTGTCCTTTGGGCCCAGAGCTCTGGGCAGCTCCCACCTCTCCCGGCAGAGCAGCCATGCTGGGGAGGAACTGGCCATGCGGCCTCAGCCAGAGGGGTGGGGGCCATGCAGAGCACTCTCAGCTGGGGCCCTGACCCCTGGGGCCAGAGGATGGAGCCAGGCACAGGAAGGCAGGGCCAGGTGTGGGCTGGCTGGAGTCTGGCCAGAGCTCCCAAAGTGGTCACAGCGAACCCTCTACTCCATCCTCTCTAGGCACAATGGTTCTGTCCAGCTCTGTCTTTGGGATTCAACCTTTAAGATGCCCCTACCCAGCCCCATAGCCCTCTTGGGTCCCAGGCAGCCCACAGAGGCCACTCAGTGACACTACCCACAACTCCCAGCAGCAGCGTCTGACAATGACCACTTTCTCCAAGTTCACAGCTCCCAATCGCGTTCACATCACCCTGATCTCTCACCCAGATGGCAGCAATGGCTTCCTCATGGCCTTGCTGCTTCCTCTTGGGTCATGCCAACTCCCACACTTATGACCCTCCAGTCCAGCACCACTACCAAGTCCCCCACATCTACCTCACGGGCAGCCACCCTGGGCTCCAGCCACCCAGCGACCTCCTGCTCCTCCAATAAGCCAGGCTCTTGGTCAGTCTCAGGACTGGGATGTTGCTGGCCCCCTGCCGAGCCAGCTCTCCACTCTTCCCCTGGAAGTCTTCAAAGCTCAAATGCCACCTCCTCAGAGGTTTCTCTGTCCTCCCCACCCATAGTGGCCACCGCAGGTACTCTGTCACAGTGTTCCTTCAGGTGCTGCTTAAGGACTAGTTGCATTAACCTCACCCTTGAACTTGTTAGAAATGCAAATTCACGAGTTTGACCTACCTACTCTGACCTATCCATCTCCAGGAATGGGGACAAAGAAACTTAGGAGCCCTCCAAGTGATTCTTTGGCACTTTCAAGTTGGAGAACCACTACTTTACCACATTGCCCCCTAACCCCTGCACAGCTGCAGGATACCCCACTGTCACTCACTTGTCCTGCCCTTTCTCCCAACAGACATCAGCTTCAGGAAGCAGGCCCTCAGCTGTCCTGGTCACCACTGTACCTCCAGCTAGAAAAGTGCCCATCCACAGGGCCCAGGTGACAACAGCTGGTAGTGAGTGAATAAGACAGGATAAGGCTGGGTGTAGGTGAATATGGTCATGCAGGGCCTGGGGTCCTGGAGGGCCAAGCAGAGCCATGCAGCGTCGGGGGCCTGGTGGCAGAGCCATGCAGAGGAGAGGGTCCTTCAGGGGGGCAGGGCCCTTGAGGCAGTTTTTAACAGCAGGCAGTTAGTTACCTGGAGACTCGGTCCCTCCCAGGCAGGGCAGCGTGTTGGGCAAAAAGGGCAGGGGTTAGTGCAGCCCTGGCGCTGAGGCAGGCTGGAGAGGAGTGGCCCGGGCACTCACCTGGCTCTCCACCAGCATGGCCATGTCCATGAACATGTCGTGCAGCTCACGGATACTGTTCTCCAGCTTGATGATCTCGCTGTGCCGTGTCTCTATCTCGCTCAGAGCCTGTTTCGAGATGCTGGAGTCCATGATGATCTGGGTGGGGGCGGGGGACAGGGACTAGGACCAGGCCGGCAGGAGGCCAAGGGAGAAGGCAGCTGGGATGGGCCACAGCTTCCTTTGCCCAGCCCTCCCCCCACCTCCTGACTGGTTCTATGACTTCATTTCTCTGAGACAGCAGACTTCCCACCTGTATATGGGGCTACATACTGCCCACCTGTGCCTGTGGCACAGCAACTGCTCAGTAAGTGGTAGTTTTCATGGCCAGGTTGTAGACCCTGCTGACCGCCCCAAGGGCCAGGCCCTGAACTGCTGTTCTCCCGGGCCATCCTCCCGTTCTCCCTCCCACACTGAACATCACTGCCCCTCCCCTCCCTCCTCCTGGACCCCACAACTCCAAGCTGCCTCCCACCCTGTGTGCCACCTTCAGGAAGCCCACCCACCCTCCGCTCAAAATTCACTTGCACATAGAGACGACCAAAGATGTGTCCCCCAAGAGAGGAAAAGGGTTCTGAGGATGGCGGAAGGAACGCCCTGGCTGTGGCAAATGGGCAGGGGCAGCAGGGAAGTGGACCCAGCTGGGATGAACCAAGAGGCAGGTGTCTTTAATTCCAGCCTTGCCACTAACATTTATGTGACCTCGGTCTGGTCCCTTCCCCTCTCCGGGACTCAGCCCTCTCTAAAACCTGCCTTACGAAGTAGCTGTGTCCCACTACCACCCAGACCCAGCACTGCACACACCCCAGGGGTCCCTGTGGGAGGGGGCTGGGCCACACTCACCCCGGAGGCAAAGATGGCCGGGTTCCCACTCTCCAGCATGTCTTCCAGCTCCTCACTGGTCGTGGTCCGGCCAGCTGCGGGCAGGGGTCACACTGAGCCCCGCCCCTCACCTTGGCTCCACCCTCCAGCCCCACCCCCTCGGCTTACTGATCTCCAGCTGCCTCTGGATGCGGCCCTTGCAGCGTTCTCTATAGTCCGACTGCGTGGCATTGTACTCTGACATGACCTCTACAAACTTGCGAGACAGTGTGGAGTGCTGGGGGTTCGAGATAGGGGTGCAGGAGTTAGGCCCAGCCCTACCTGACCCTAGAACCTCAGGCGCCTCCAGCCGGGCCCAGACCTGTGTCTTTCGGATCCTCAGGTCAGCAGACGAGCGGTTCAGGCCTTCCTCCTGTTCGATGCTCTGCTCGATGCCTGGGACAACAGATGGCTTCTGAGCCGTACCCTGCCCCCATTCACCACTGCCCCCCTACCCACATACCCAGGACCTGGCCCAAGACCTCCCCTGGAGGGTTCCTGTGAAGTCTGTGAGTGGGGGGTCACATGGGAATCAGAGGAAGGGGGCACGGGGTTCCAATGGACAAGGGTCCACCAAGGGCGCTTCCAGGCATCATGTGGGTAAACACATGCACATCCACACGTCAGGCCTTGGCACACACCAAGCTGGGTGTGTGGGCTCCTACTATGTGCTAGGCCTGGTGGCGCAGGCCCACCCCGTCTCCCTCCTGCTCAGGAAGGCTGTGCACCCAACAAGGTGCCATGCCCAGAGTGGGAGGGCCGGGTGGCCACAAACCCATAGGGCTCATGGCCCCTAGGCCTGTACATTCCTGGGGTGCACACACCTGAGCTCACAAAGGCACAGGGGGCTTCTGCATTGCACCAGGTGGTGCTGGCCACTCCTTTAACCCTCTGCAGCTGAAGTGGGGGGAATGCCCAGAGGGGGACTCTCCCATGACGAAACCTCATGCGTCTGTCCCGAGGCCCAGCCAAGCGCCCGGAACACATGGGCCTTGCCAGGTGGTATGAGTGAATGGGCACACGATGGCACCCTCAAAGGAGAGCAAGACTCGGTGGACCCCCAGTGTTTGTGAAACCCCTGCTTGGAGAAAGAGGCCTGAGTGCCCCCCACGCCCCAGACAAGGCCTGGAGCCCAGACTCACTCTTTAACTTGGAACGGACTTTGTTTGCTGTCTTCTTTATGTCAGACATGAGTTCCTCTAGCTCCTCCTTCGTCTCTGGGGAGGTAGAAGGGGTGGCGGGTGGACTCTGGGTTCTCCACTGCCTGATGTGCAGGCTCAGCCTCCAGCACAGGGAGCCCAGCAAGGGGCTCTAGGCAGCCCTGGGTCCTGGGTCTCCCCTCTTCCCCTGGCTAGGGCCCTGCCTGTCCCTCTGGTCTTGGACCAGGGCCACATCAGCTGCATGCAGCCTCACCCCTTCTCATGCTGCTTTCCAAGGAGCCTCCCTTCTTCCTCTGCTGCCTCTCCCACCCCCTGCAGATAACAGATGGGTCTAAATTTAAGGCAGAAATAATTGTGGAGCAGCTGGCGATGCTAGAGTTGGCACTGGGGAATGGTTACTTGATACTTGCCTGAGCTGAGGGTGTGGGGGTGCTGCTCACCTAGCATTACCTGGCGGGTCAGGGGACCAAGTGTCCAGCCAATACAGTGATGGGGCTGTGGGCCAGGGAGGCAGAAGCCAGCACCCCCATGGAGTACCCTGGGTGGGGCAGACCTTGTTTTCCCAAATTCCTGTCTCCCACAGGTGCTGAGCTCAGTAGAGGCCAAATGCTAATGGCCCAGCAGGGAGATGGGGGTGGGATGCATGGGGCCTGGCTGGAGCTGATGGAGAAAAGCTTCAAAGAAGTGGGTCCCCTGGGGTAGACCTGGCCTGGAGTGGCCAGGAGCTGGGCTTACAAGGGTAAAGGTAGGGGTAAGTGGTGACATAGTATCTCTGGCACTTGTTCCAACTGGAACCATTCCTCCAAATCTGGCAGAAGCCAGGAGGATGCCCAGTGCACTCCTGTGAGGGGTTGGCTGGCAAAGTGGGGCAAGATGGCTGCTTCCTTTTGGGGTGCTGGGTGGATCAAAGGGTCCTGGTAATGACCCAGCCTCAGGGCAGCCCCCAGGACTGCACCCCTGGAGAAACCATGGCAGAGCTCTTGGCTGTGGCCTTTCTCATCCCCGTCGCCCTGCTGCTTGGGGTGGGGGCTGGGGCTTCTCCTATAGGGGTCTGGGGAGGGGTGTTTACAGGGGTTGATCAAGTGGGGCCCACCTCCCAAGTAGAACGTGGGTGAAGGAGAGGGGGGATTTGAGGAGCGGAGGAGGGTGCCTTATTCATAGGAACAAAGGAAAACTTGGTTACCAGCTGCTCTGACGACTCAGCCTCTTTTGCTCGAACCCAAAATAGCCCAGCCCGGATGGCAGCACCCAGAGAAGGCAGAGTAAGCGTTGGCCCAGGAAAGCCCCCCCACCCCCACTCACTGCCGTCTTTCCCTTGACTTCTCTGTGGGTCTGCTCCACCTCTGCCCTAGAACACTCAACAGGGAGACCCTCCCCATGGGGTTGCCTGTTAGCCCACACTGTCGACCACGAGCCAGCCTGACGGCTCCACTCTCAGCGGTGATCCTGAACTGGTTGCTACTGACTGAATGGCACGGAGAGAAGGGTTGCTGGTGGCACATGGGAGACAAGAAGGGGAGCTGGGCAACTCCATAGCCCCAAGCCCACCTGCCTTCCATCAGGGATAGGCCACTGCCCCGCTGCTGACAGTATCTGCTCCCACAGCCAGCCCCCTTCCAGGAGTGGGATGGACAAGAGGACAGAGTGATCTACACAACCAGAAGTGATCCACATGGAGACACACACTGACCCTGATACACACACAGGCACAAAGACATACCACATCACATGCTGCCACCCCAGGCAAATCTCTGGGCAGGGGCAAAGTAAGGACTTTATCAGATGTATGGATGCCCTGCTTTGGGTGGTCCCTCTCTCTCCACCCCTCCTGGGACAATCTCCCCAGCTCGCCACTGACTCATTTTGTCTTCTGAGGGCCTGGCACCAGGCTTGGTCGGCTTGGCACTGCCTCAAGGCTAAGGAGCTGTGGACTGGGAGGCAGTGTTGGAGATGAGACTGAAATCAAGCCCTGGACACTTCCCTTTGGCCACTTGGAGGCAGCAGGGCTGCACCCTCCTGGTGTTTTCTTACAGGCCCACAGGCTGGGGCCTCCCAGAGGAGCTGGGGAAGCTGGAGAGGAGGTGAGCTGGAGGAGAGGAGCAGCTGGCACATGCCCAGTCTAGTGAGTCCAGGTTGCCGGCCCCCTGTCTGCCTGGGGCTGAGGGGGAGCTCCCACCAAGGGAGGGGATCTCGCCCCTGCATGCTGTCAGCATGGCACGGGACAGCATGGTTATCAACACCTCAACAGGAATTGTGACAACCAGGCCAGGGGAACCTGCCTGGGGACAAAATGGATTGCAGACACACACAGACTCCCTGTGAGGAGGGAGAGAGGTGGCTTTCTGGAGCCCTGAGAATGCCTGGCACTAGGGTACCACTGGCCAGGTGCCAGGGCTCCAGCTCCTTCCAGAAGCTCTGCCTGCTTGGCCGGCTTGCCCTCCCACAGCGCTGAGCCTCAGAGCTGCCATCTGCTCCCCTGGAGGCAACGGAGAGGGAGGGGCTGGACTGAGAAACTGCCTATTGATCAGAAGCAGCTCCCTCCCAGAATCCGAGTGCTGCAGCCAGCCCGTGGGCCTTAGAAAACAACCAGCTTACCTGGGGGTGGGCAGGGGGTGGCCACCTGACCCACCCAGGCCTGAGAAGGGCTGCCTCTCCCTCCATGCAAGTCTGCACGAGACCAGGTCCAGCGGGTGGCACTGGGCACTGACCTCCACCCTGGGCCTGGGCCAGCTATTTCCTCAGGCTTCCCACAGCCCTCATCCGCTTGCCCAGGTACTCCTCAGCTGGCTGACAATGAAGGTTGTTGGGGTGCCAGGAGGCTGCCCACAACCCCTCCCCAGCAGCTCCTCTTCGGAGGCCTGTGGGGCCTGAAACTGGCCCCTCACACCTACACACTTACTCTCATCAGGGTTGGGGGAGGCCAGGATGGCGCTGTGCTTCCGCTTCACCTCCTCCACATTCTCCGAGATCTTGTCAATGAAGCCGCGGATCTCCTCCACCTGTGGACTGAGGCCAGGTCAGGAGAAGAAAGCCAGGGAAGACACTTCTGGGGACCAGGGCTTGCCAGACTGGGGCTGAGGTCAGGACTCAGGAGGAGGCTGGGGCGGGTGGAACTGCTCCACATATCCTTCTAGACTTGTGTGGGAAGGAGTGGGCGGCTCCAAGCCTGAACTTTGCTCCCCTCTGAGCTTCAGTCTATTCTCTCTCACAATGGGTTCATTAATTGGTGTGGGCTGCCAAGCCAGGTCCAGGTAAGAACCCTGGACCTAGCTCAGGGGTGGGACATGGCCACCTGGGGTCTGCCCATGCATGTCATGAGATGGGGTGTGCTGGCTCCCACCTGTTCGAAGAACTCATCCATGAAGCGATCTCGGTCCATGGTGACTGTGACATCATCATCATCATCGCTGTCCTTGGCCTACGTGGGGGTGTGCACACAGAGCAGACCTGTGGTAGGACCACTGGGTCCCGCTGGACCTGGGCCCTTAAACTGTCTGGCATCCATACACAGCAGGCTCTCAGCCTGCAGCTCCAGCACCTCTCCGTCTTCTTGGCAGGGACAAGTCCTGGCTGTGCCCCCAGCTCCAGCCACAGTGAGACTGGGATGACCCCTGGGGACCCGGCAGAAGGAGAGGCCTTGCCTGTCAAATTAGTGACAGCCCCAAGTCTCCACCCCCGGGCCAGGACTCCTTCCCCTGCCCTGCTGCCTGCCCCTTCTCCACAGGACTGGGTCCTCCCAGCAGGCCCCTCGCCCTAGGAGGCCTCGGGAGGCCTTGCCACAGCTGGCCAGACAAGCAAACCTCAGGGTTTCATCCCCTTGCAGTGGCCCTAACACACAGACCTTGCCTGAGACAGGCTGCCCGTGGAAGCCAGTGTTTTCTACTCCCCTGGCCCAAAGGTTTTAATTAAGATGGGGCTCAAAGTTCCCAAGCGCCTTTCTGGGGAGGGTCCTGGAGGAGGAGGAGGCCTGGGCACTACCTCCCTCCAAAGAGGGAGGATGGCTCAGAGGTGGGGCCATCGCACAGCCCCCGACAGGTCCGAGATACTGCCTGTGGGGCTCTGTGAGGTGTGCGCTTTGCCCCTTCAGCCCTCTCGGGAATCTGCTCTCTCCTTGCTAGTCTTGACATAGGACCTTGATCCTCTTTCTTTCCAGGCCCAGCTGGGTTCAGCAGGCCCAAGAGGCCAGTCATGTTGACACTTGGCTTGAGACCTAGCCTTAGGCCTCAGCTACAAGTGCGGGCCCCGCCCCGGTGCCCCAGGAGCAGCCCTACAAAAAGCCACCCCCATCGTGGGGCAGGGTAATTACACCTGACTTCCCAGTACTGGTCATCCACAGTACTGCTTGCCTTATACACCTTGGGTCTCCAGGGTCAGCCCGCTGTGCTGGCAAGGCCAAGATCCCTCTGCACAGTCAAGGCCAGGATGCCCAGGGCAGGTCTGTAACCCCTCAGACTGTTTCTTGGGCCTGGTTGTGCCTTGTTTCTTAGCTGCACCCCATGGGGAAGAGGCATTAGCTGGCCCAGCATTGGCCTCTTCCTCAATGCTCTCATGTCAGGGCCAACAATGGGGCCAGGCTGAGGCCGAGGGGATGGGGAAGTTGGGTCCTGCTGGCCTTCAGGGGAGGGCCCAGGTTCTGGGTGCAGCACAGACACTGACTGGCTGAGGGGCTTCCCCTCTGGGTCTGTTGGCCCCTCTGTGCAATGGGGACAGTGATGCCTGGCTGCAGGGAGGGCTGGCTGAGAAAGAGAGAAAGCACAGCGTGTTCTATAGAGGGCTGTGCCTCTGGAGCTCTCAGGGTCCCACTACCCCACCAAAGTGGGACCAACCAAGAGAGGGGGTTGTTTGGGAGCTCTGTGGAGGCAGCTCTGAGGGGCCCCGCTCAAGAGATCACACCTCCTCCCCAGCAGCTAAATAAATCGTCGCTCCCACAAGTGCCTGTGGTTGCTACCAGGTGGTCCCCCCACCCCACAAGCCCACCGACAGATACAGAGCAGCTAGGAGCCATTTGCACACTTCTAGACTGTACCAGATCCAGGGGTTGAGCCAGAAAAGCACTCCTTAGGGAAACTGAGGCAGAGTGCAGCCTGGAGGAGCCCTGTTTCCCTCCTGAGGAGCTTGCCAGGGTGGGACGTGGCCCCTAGAGTTCCTGCCATTCAGCACCCTGTCCTTCAGGTGCCCAGAGAATGACGGGGGTGGCTGGGGAAGGGTAAGAAGGAGAATTCTCCAGCTCTGCTCCCAGAAAGTAATGACCAGCTAGGGCCAAAGACAAGGGCACTTGAGTTACCAGAGATGAGTCATTGCCAGAGACTCCCGGGATCTGGGCTGGTGCCCCTCTCTGGGGCTTAGCTTGTCCATCAGTAAATGAAGGCATATCTTCTCCAGGCATCCAGCCAGCTCTGACCTGCTACCTCCATGGCCTCCCCAGAAGGCTGAAGGCTGGACTCGGGCAGTTTCTCTAACAGAGGTTGGCAGGAGGCTCTCCTCCAGGCTGTCCATCTGAGGGTAGAGCTGGGAAAGGGACACCTCAGGCCAGGGACTGATGGAGGCACCCGAGTTGGGGTCCACACTGGAGGTGGCATTCAGATTGGCCCAAAGCCAAAGGGAAGGTTTACAGCCTGACCTCACAGCCTTGTCATACTAGCTGCGGCTCCAAGCCAAGCCCTGAGGGAAGCTCCTTACCGAGTCCAAGAGCTTCTTCCTCAGGACATTCCACCCCCACCCATCCCCTTCACCTCACTGCTCCAGCTGGACATCTGATCCCAGTGCATCCCACCGATGACCAGCCTCTACAACCTACCTACTGTCCTCCCTTCCTCATGCAATCTCTTCTCCTGGGAAGGTGACTTTTCTCTCATTCTTAGATACTACCTCCTCCTGGAAGCCCTCCCCAGCTTTCCAGGGTCAGAATCTTGCTCGTCTGGTCCCTCACCCTCTATTCACATCCCTTCCGGAGCCATAGCCACAGACTCTCAGGCCCTAAGGAACCTGAAAGGTCACCTTGGCCTCTGCTTCCAGCCTCAGCTTGCACACCTCCTGGGATGGCAAGCTCACCAGCCTTCTGCCCATCTTGGGCAGCCCCAACTGTTAGGAGGTCCTGCCCTTTCCTGTGGTTCAGCCCCAGGCCACAAAGAACCTGTTGATGAACCCTCCCTGGGCTGGTCCTGCCAGAGATGCAAAGGCAGTATCCACACACTTCCTGGGTTTTTCTTCTCAAGTTGACCTTCCCTCCTCTTCAGATCCTCTCTGGGGCCTTCAGGTGCAGCCCCTGTCCCAGACTTGTTCAGCTAAGCTTGTCTACAGTCCAGGGTTCAGGCTGAATCTGCTATTGACTGTGGTCTAAGCAGTGCCAAAGAGCTGACCCATCCCCTCCCTCTTTTTACATGGTCTACCTCTGTTAATGCAGCCAGAAATCAGTTTAGATGACCATGTAGCACTTCCTGCTGAGGAAAGCCTCAAGCCCTTCCCTACCACTGTCCACCTGGCTGGACTTCAGACTCCAGTGAAGGACCTTCTTCCTGTTTTACTTTGTTATTTCTTCTGATCCTTGCTCCAGTTTGTGCAAATCTGATGGCTCGTGACTCTGCTGCCCCATGTAACCCCTGTACATCTAGGCCAGAGCGCCATGACATCTTTCTAGAAACATCCTCCAGATGAACCAAGAGCCCTAATAAATTCTCACTGGACACTGAGTAAATAAATAGGAAGTAGGATGCCGGCTGCCCCCACCCAGACACACTCCTGACCAAGAAGTAACTAGGAACTCGGCTGGCAAAATCTCGTGTCCACCCTGAGGAGACCAAATCAGAATTTATGGGGGTGGGGCTGGTGATACTGTTTAAGGCCCCTCCCTGCCCTACCCCTGCACCCCCTCCCCCCAGGGCGCAAGAACCCTTGCCTGGTCTCCCTCCTCTGGGATGGGCTTTCAGTTTCAGCACCAGCCTGAGTAATCACGCATGAATGGAGACAGGTGGCAGGGAGGCCCTGCTGTGACCTCCTTCAGGAAGAGAAGATGCCACAGGTGGGCGGGAAGCCCTCAGCCTTCCTCTAGGATGGCCAGACAGCTGTGGTGGTCTCTCCTGGCAGTGGCTCCAGGATTCCAGGATATCTTCCCGGAAATAACAGTGTGATTCCTCCAAGAGACACGGAGGCCAGCAGCCTCCAGGCCTGTCTCTGGGGATGGATGGCAGCAGGCCAATCAGCAGAGTTGATTCATTCCTGTTGAACAGGAGTTGCTGTTGTCTGCCTCCAGGGCTATTTTTTTCTCCCTTATTTTTAATGACTAATCAAAGTTAGTATCACTAGAGCAGAGAGGCCCAGAACTGAGTCAGGGGTGTGTGCGAGGCCAAGCTGGGTTCAATGAAAGGGGGTTCCTCAGTATGATTCCTTCAGCCTCTCCCCATCCTGGGTCCTCCTCCTCCACCAGAGCCCTGCTCTCACAGGGTCTGCCCCTTAGCAGGTCCTAGAGCAGTTCGGGGAGGCAGCTTCAGGACGGGGAAAGAGGCTGGGTTCTGCCCCAGGTGCTGTGTGCCATTGGATAAACTCCTGGCCCTTTCTGAACCTCAGTTTTCTGATTTGCAAGATAGGAGGCTGGCCAAGCTAGTCCATGAAGGCTGTTCCAGCTGCACCCCTGATGACAAAGTGCCCAAATCCATTGTTTCTTCTGGGAAACCCCAGGGAGGTAATGGGAGGGAAGGAGGGAGACCCAACCTTGGGTCTACATTTATACCTATGGTTACATCCACTCTGCAAGGTGATCCTGCTGGCTCCACTGTGCAGATGAAATGGGTATTGAGTGATAAGGCATGAACCTGCCTGGTGTTGACCCAGGATCCCCAGTCTCTTCCCAGCCATGAGAAAGAAAAGGGGAAGAACGGGTGGGCAAAGTGGGGCAGTGGGCTTTCCCATCCAGGCCTGCTGCAGCTGCTCCAGGGAGCTAGGCCCTGCTTTAGAAGAGGTGTCAGAACTACCCAGCCTCTCTGCCTTTACTCGTGACAGCCCCTCCTTCTGGACCACCCGCCCTCCTCCCATTTAAATCTAGCTCTTCCTTCTGGGCCATCCCAAGTTCTCTTCCACCAGGAAGGCTTCTTCCAGGGTCTAGCTGCTCCAACTCTCCCTCCTCTGACTCCTGCAGCAAGTCCTTTGGGTCTCACATGGCCCAGCATGTGAATAAACACTATTCTGGGCCCAGAGAAGGGTGGGTGACCTCCAAGAAATTCTCAGAAAGAAAACTACGAAGGCTCCGAACTGAGGCTAGGAGGCAGCTGCAGATCAGGTGGGGCTGCCTGGGGCCACCTTGCCACAAGTCTCCCTGGTTGTATGACTGGGCTACTCTTTGCCCTTCTTAGGCCTCGGGATTGCCCTTCTAATCTGAAGGCTGTTCAGAGCACTGAGGCCCCACTGTGTCTGCACACTGAGAATCAGCCCCATGAGAGGTGGGATGGAGAAGGCTGGAGGGCTGGGCAGAGCGCTGAGGAAACAAGCCAGCTCCTTCCCCAAGTGTGACTTTTATAAATAAGCTCCCTTTGCTTTCCTTCCTTCCAAATGTGGTGGTGTTGGGTGGAGAAGGAGGAGGCAGGTGGGAGGAAAGGAGGGTTGGGGGTGGTGCAAGCCACTGTCCCAAGCACCACCTCTGTTCAGCCAGCCAGTACTGGCCTTTTGGTCCATGGGGATTCTTGTGGTTCAAGGGCTCCCCCAGATAAGGAGTCAGACTCAAGAGACCTGTCACCACCCACCCCTCTTGCCCTGAGACATTGGGTTCTATCTCCACTTCATAGATGGGAACCCGAGGCCCAGAGGTAGCACACCAAACTGACCCTCCCCCACCCAGTGTGGGCTTCTGCCAGCTTACCCTCAAGGCTGCTAGAAACCCCAGTGGGCAGGGCCACCCAGCAACGAGCAGCCTCCAGGGCTCTAAATGTTTGAGGGGTGGGATCTGCAGAGGAAGCCTTAGTGGATTCACAGAGAAGTGACCATCTAAGGGACCACCCCGGCTAGTAAGTGTGTATGTGGGCGTGCAGGGGGTGAGGGTGCAGGGGGTGAGGGTCAGAGACACATAACAGAGCAAAATACCTGGGCTCAAGCACCCTACAACCTAAGCTCTCCTGGGGGTCCCCAGTCCAGCCAAGCCTGTGTCTGTCTTCAGGACTAGGCAAAGACCCTTTCTACCATCCCTCTACCATCTACCACGTAAACCACTTGTCCCTTGTGCCTCAGTTTCCCCTTTGGCAGAGAGGATGAAGGCTGATGAACGAGAGACCCTGCTGGATGTAGAGGACTGTGTTACCTCTGACCCCTTGGTTTCAGCTCTCATCTGCTCCACCAGGCACCCAAACATTAGCAAAAACATCACAAGGCCATTCATTGATGAGATAACATTCTTTCTGACTCAACGGAGCTCAGGAAACTTGAGGGCAACCAGAAGGGCTGGAGGAGGAAGTGCTTAGATATTATATATGACGTAAGGGCCATCTTCTTCCTTTGAAATCCCATGGAGTTTACCCACCGGGGCTGGGCATTCAGCCAGAAATGACACAGGTTTGACGGGGTGGGAGCTGGCAGCCTGCTCCAGGTTGCCTGGGAGACAAGCCTGGTATAATGGGGGAGACCTAGGCACAAACCTAGGGAGCCTTTGAGCATGGAGGTCAAGCCTTGGTATCAAAAACCCAAAGGACACTTGAAACTTTCCATATGAGGGGCCCTAGGTCTCTGACTCCAAGCTGGGCAGCAGGGGATGGGTTCTGGGGATCCACTGAGGTAGGGTCCCCCACCGGCTTGTGATCAATGTTGGGGGTGGAGAGGAGGCCTGCCCGTGGGGCTGTCAGCCAGGCGACCAGATGAGACTCAACCTTTTCTAGAGCCTTGATGGCTCCCTCCTCACACTTCACTGCCCCCCACAGGCCCCAGAATTTCCATTTGCCTAAAGTTCTGGTAAATGACAGAGGTCAGGGGAAGTGGGGCGCCTGAGGATGAGGAGCAGGGGCCAGGGGTCTCGGTCAGGGCTGGGAGAGGGTGGGCTCCTAGCGCATCCACCTACTCCCCACACCCCGCCCCAGGAGCCACACCCCGGGGGCCCCCAAAACACAGGTGCAAAAATAGGTTAGGTCGGAATGAGACCAGGGAACCCCGGAAGGTCTGGAAATGCCAGCCGGCGCTGCCCGGAAGCCAGGAAGGTGGACCCTTGGCGGGTCTGACCCTCCCGGGCCTGGGACAGCAGCAGATCCCGATTGCGGCCGGGTGGTGAGCCACAGGTGATGGAACCTACAGGTGATTTAAGGTGATGGGGGCGGCGGCGCGCCCCGCCAGACAGCACCGCGGAGGGGCCCGGCCCCACCCGATCGCCCGGTTTCCGCAGCGCGCCCCGCCGCGGGGCTCTGGGCAGGGGACCGCCCTGGCCCCTTCCCAACGCGGTCCTGCCCTCAGTCTACACCTGCGGTGAAGGGGGGGGCAGAGGGGTCAGTGATGAGGGGACAGCGTGGGGGCTGGGGCGGGGACGTGACCTGCTTCGAGGGCCGAGGGCGAGTCAGGGTTCGGTCCCGTCACCGATATCCGACAATACCCCTCCGACCCGCCAAAACAAAGGGTGCCGAAAGTTTATTCGCCACCCCGGGTTCCAGCCGCCAGCCCGGGAGCCAACGGGGCCGAGCTCACGCGAGTCCGTGACCCCGAGTGGGTCCGAGGGGCGGGACCCAGAGGAGGTCGGGGTCCCGGGCTCCGCACCGCTTCCTCCCGCCCGGCCGGGGCCGCAGGGGCTGCCGCTGGAGGGGCCGCCGGGGCTGCGCGGGGAGCGGCCAGCGCCTGGGCGCAGGCGGCGTGCGGTGGCGTGCGGGGGACCGGACTCACCGTGCGGAGCTCCTGGGTTCGGTCCTTCATGCTCCCGGGAGTGGCAGCGGCGCCGGCAGCAGCCGAATGAGCCCCGCATGCGCGGCGGCCGCCCCGCGGCTGCGCAGAGCCCGCCCAGCCCCGCCCCGGCCCCCGGGACTCTGGACCAGCCCCCAGCCCAGTCCTGCCCAGTGCCGACCCGGCTCGCTGGCCCCGCTCAGCGCTGGGGTATCGAAAGCCAGGAACCTCGTCCTCCTGAGCTCACAGCACTGTGTGATCCCTGCTTGGGATCGGACTCCGGAGCTCCTGCTCCAACCCTCCCTCGACCCAACTGCTTAGCATCTCTTTCTGGTCCCTCGAGGAATTGCTGGAGATCATACCCCTCCCCTCGAACCCCCTCTCCCCCTCACTCTCCTTGATTTTACTGCCTTGGCACCTGTAGCGCTTCCTTCCAAAAATCTCCTCCAGCCAAAAAACCTCCTGCAGAGTGAATTCCAGCGTCTGAGCCCTACCCTTCCCACTTTCCGCCAACATCCTATCCAGGATCAGGCTGAGCCCCCTCTTTCCCCAGGATTTCTCAGTTCATGGGTTTAATGCTGGGTGACCATCCCTTTTGCTTTAGTTTCCACTAAAGCACTCCTAGAGGGATGTAGGGCGTTTCCAGACCTTCTATCTTTGGGGAAGGGAGATCTAAATTATAGCCCACTCTCTTTCCCCTTTCCCTGCACTCCCAGCCCCAGGCCTGAGAACCTATTTCCTATTTAGAAGCTGGGGCAGCTAAACCTGGGGTCCAGCTCCCTCTCCCACTAGCTCTGTTACTTGGGAAGATAGATCTTAATGGGAAGATCTTCCCAGTAACTTAGAGGGATGGGGGAGGGGTGGAGGATAGTCAGTAGCAGATGCTCCTTTTCTGGTCCCTGCCAGTATCTTGTTGAGACAGTAGACACACACCCCTGCCCCAGCTGTCCCCTCTGTGCCCTGGCCCAGACCCTCTTGACCTCAAGCCAAGCACCCCGCCTTCCTATCCCAGGGCTGCCAAGGTGCTCTGGAGCTGGGCCAGCTCCCTGTTGGCTAGTGTGTCTGGGCCTGGCAGTTCTCCCAGACTGGGGGCACAGGTTAGCTGGCTGGCAGACAGGCTGGAGACACTGTTCCAGCTGTCCCTCCTTCCCTGGAAATCTGGCCCAAGGCTACTACAGATGTGGCTTGGCATGAGAGACAGCTACACGTCTTCCAGTTGTCCAGACCTCAACCTGGAGTGTCCAGCAGAGCAAGCACTGGTGGTGCCCCATTTAACAGAGGACTCACCTATGAGAAGGACTTTCCCAGGGTTGCAGGGAACAATTGGCAGGGAAGGTACTGCATGACTCTTGGTCCAGGGTGCTTTCCTGTGTGCAGGGTAATCAGTGGGGCAGGTCATAGGTGCACCCCCAGAGCCCAGTGTCTAGCTCTGTGCAAGAGGGCAGGAAGGGGAGGCACAGCTCAGGCCCTCAGAGAGCCCCAGTGTCACACCAAAGCATCACTCATTGAGATACATACTAAATGGTAGCATTAAAAATGAATAAAGAATGAATGTATGCCCTTTACCTTGAGCTTTGCCTTTCTGGTACCAGGTCTTACCCTCATTCATTCATTCATCAAACATTACCTGGAAAAACATGCTCTGGGGCCACTGTTTGTACCTAAGGTGCTCCTAGTGTAGTGGAAAGACAGACATGGTTTCAATGTGAGGGATCCAGGGTGGCTTCCCAGAAGCAGTGACTTTGGGGCTGGATGTTGGGGGAGTGGGGCTGCAGCAGGGAGAGGTACAGGCATTCAGGACAGAGGAGCCTTCCCAGAGCCACTTTCAGGACAGAGGAGCCTTCCCAGAGCCACTGGGGTGGAAGTGGGGAGCTTTTGGAGAACCTCAGAGCCTGTTTTGGCACTCCAGTATGAGGGTGGGTAGGAGATGAGGCCAGTGAGAGAGGCCTAGAATGTTAAGCTTTATTGTATAGGCAAGGGGGAGGAAATCAAGGGTCGGACTTTCATTCCTTCAATCAAAAAATATTGAGCATCTACTATATGCTGAATTGTTCTAGATGCTGGGGATGGGTCAGGAAAAAAGATAGACAAAAGTCTTTGGAGTCTCATGGAGTCCACATTCTGCTAGAGGAAAGAGATGATAAACAAATAACATACCTAATAGTAATAATATGCTATGGAGAAGATAAAGTAGGAAAGTACAGGTAGAGTGTGCTGGGTTTGAGGCAGGTCTCCAATTTTCAATTAGATGGTCAAGGAGAGTGTTGCTGAGAAGGTGGCATTTGAGTAAATATTTGAGGGAGGTGAGGGAGTGAGCCATGTAGGTCTCTGTGGGAAGAGCATTCTGGACAGAGAGGACATCAGGTGCATGACCACCAGCAGGGGGCATGCCTCCTAGCACATTGGAGAAACAGCAAAGAGACAAGATAATCTGGAGCATGGTGGGTGAGGAAGAACTCAGAGGGGGTGAAGTCAGCGAAGCTGAGGGAGAGAACTTGTAAGTGACTGTCTTTGGCTTTTACTCTGAGTGGGATGGGAACCACAGGAAGGTTCTGAGCAGAGGAGGGTCATGATCCATCTTGCGCTTTAGCAGGATTGCTTTGATTGCTGGGTGGAGAATACAGATCTTCCTCAATTTACCATCGGGGTTACATCCCAACAAACCCATCATAAGTTGAGAATATGGTTAAGTTGAAAATGCGTTTAACCTAACCTACTAGTCATCATAGCTTAGCCTAGACTATCTTAAATATGCTCAGAACACTTACATTAGCCTACAGACAGGCAAAATTATCTAACAATCTATTGTATAATAGTGTTGAATATCTCATGTAATCTATTGAATAACTATACTGAGAATGAAAAACAGAATGGTAAGTATATCGGTTGTTTGCCCTTGTTATTGTATAGCAGATATGGATAGCAGAAAGCTGCAGTTCAGTACTGCTCCACAGCATCTCAAGAAAGGATCCTACCACATATCCCCAGCCCAGGAAAAAAAATCAAAATTTAAAATTCGATGTTTGGTTTCTACTGAACGTGTATTGCTTTTGTACCTTTGTAAAGGCAAAAAATTATTAAGTTGAACCATTGTAAGCTGGAATGTCTGTAGACTGAAGGGTACATGGGAGGAAGCAGGGATGTTATTTACAAAGTGATGGCAGTAATGCAGGTAACAGCAACAAAGGTGATGGCTGTGGTGGTGGTAAGAAGTCATACTCTGGATACATTTTAAAGGTAGAGCCAACTGAGAGAAAGAGAGGAACCCAGGAAGACTGGAATCAAGGTTTTTGACCCAAACACCTGGTAATAGGGTGTCTTTTGCAATGGTGAGGAAAGAACTGGAGAAAGAACAGGTGGGGGCAGGGATCAATCAGGATTTGGGGTTGGGACCTACTAAATTTGAATTGTTCATTAGACATCCCAATGGGGAGGGCAAGTAGGCCATTGCTCGTTATGAGTCTGGAATTCATCAGAGAGGCCCAAGCTGGAAGCGGCAACACAGATGGTTTCTAAATCAAAGGAGGAGCGTGTAGCAGCATGATTGACAGCTGGAAGGCTGCTGTGGTGTCCAGTAGAGAGACTGAACAGAAGCGTGACCCTGGCTGGAGAGGAGGGTCAAACACATTCAAGAGATTTATTTAATATTACTATTCTTTATTCCAATTACAATAAGAATGTTGTAAAACATTAAAACAATGACAGATATGAACCAGAAGCAACAGGCCCTGGTGACTAATAATGAGCAGATAAAAGCAGAGCTGGGGTTCGGAGGAGGCATCTGGGGGCAGGGGAGGAGTTCAGGTCAGGACAGGGAGCATTAAAGGTGCCAGCCCTGCCCTCCAGGGGAGCCATGCAGATAGTCAATGAGGGGTTAATGTGCACACCCGCTGGAGACTTCAGAGGCAGGAGTTGCCTGTCTTGGGGTGGAGATGGAAGTTGTGGGCCACAGTCCAGGAGTGTGTACATCCGTGCATGGGTCAAAGGAAGGAGCAAGAGCTGAAGATGGAGCTGGAATGCTCTGTGATGGGTGAGGGGTGGGCAGAGATGGAGCCAGAAGCATGGCGGGGGCTAAAAGAGAAACTGCTGCACATGATGCCTTTGGTTCCTAGAGCAGCCGACTCCCTGGGATCAGAAGCCAGTTCAGAGAGGCAGAGCCTTTGAATTGGGGCTTAAAGGATGAGTAAGAAGTAGCCAGGTGGAGAATGGGGGAAAGGTGTTCACGGCCAAGAATGTGAACAACCATGATAGGGAATGTGAGAGCTTAGGGCTTATTCCCAATGAGAACCAGGCAGCCCCATAACATATGTGGTTCCCACCCCATCTTTAGTGTGGATAATGGATGGATATTCAGTTCAGGCCAATGCCGTGTAAAGGCCTGTCCCCACTCTAGACAATGATGCATCTGCAGCCCCATATTGGCATCCACCCCCCCACCCACTTTTTCATGGTGGAGAGGTTTCCCTATTGCCCTGGAGAAGGGAATCCTAATAGCCCAAAATAGTTTTTCATTTTCTTTTGATCTTGGCCCTGCCTCACCCTTTGGAGCCACCTTCCTTGCCCACTGTGAGCAGCCATAATGCCCACACCTTGGCACATGCCTTAGTTCTCAGGCCTGAAGACCTCTCCTCTGTTTCCTTCCTCTCCACAATACACCTGGCCAATGACTTGTAGTCCTTCCCTTCTAGACATCACCTCCTCCAAGATCCACCTGTCCCTGACTGCCCAAGAATAAGTGTTGGGTTCCTTCTGTCTGGTCCCACAAAGATCTGTACTTATCCCCATGATAATAGCACTTACAGTCCTGTGTTACATGTCTGTCCCCTCATTAGATGGGGACATATAAAGGGAAAGAACTGGGGCATGTTCTTGTTCATTCCCCAAGGCTGGCACAGAAAGTATGTTTGTGCAGTGAGTGGTACACACTTGCATGCCTGAATGAGTAGTGTTCCTATAAGGGAGGACTGAGAGAAAGGCTGGGCATTTGGGAGCTCCCAAGCCCCTGGGTACAGAGTGTGGTTCCACCCCACGGGCTGGGTGGGGGTGGGGGTGGATCACTTGCCCACTGGATTCCATTATTGGGAACTGCTGCCACCTGCTGGGCAAGGCCGGTGTTGCCTCACCGAGGCTGTAGCTGCTGAGCACCTGTGTCCAGGTTGAATGGTAACAGGCACTGTGCATCCTTCAGAAGCCCTTGAGCCGGTGGGAGAGACACCTTGACAGTGACAAGACAATGGTAGGGAAGTACAGGGACTATAAGGGTCTGGAGGAGGAAGAGGTCAGCAAGGGGCACTCAATGATCAAATCTGGGACAATTTGAACATCAGAATAAATCATGGGGACGAGTTATAATCTATTGAATAAAATAGGAAACTACACCTATCTGATATAAATAAATAGATGACTATATGGGGATGAAGAGAAAGTTATTCTTTAGAGCACCAAATAAAAAGTGTAGAAGAGATGACGAAATTAGAAACTCCCCATTTGTGAACTGTTGTAGTAATAATTTGGCCAAGAAACATCAATGGATACTGAGCCCTATGGGTGAAAGTGGGATGAAAAGCATGTTTCATAGTCCCAAAGTACTTCCCTTCTGCAATACTTACTAATCATGATTAAGTGATCAACATTAATACCATCAGTCATGGTTCCAAACGATATCAGATATGAGAACACAGCATCATTTCTGCGATAGTTTTTTGCCCAAAATATGTAACAGTGGTCTCATTATGAGCAAGGACTGGGCAAACCCAAACTGAAGAACAATCTACAAAATAAATTGGCTGTGAGCCTCAAAAATGTCACGGTCATGGAATTCAAAGAAAGACTGCCAACTGTTCTAGGCTAAGGGAAACCAGAGAGATGTGACAACTGGGTACAATGTTTGATACCACATTAAATTGTTTTACTCTAATAAAAGGATATATATATAATTTTGGACACTGAAGAGCAGTTTGGAATTGTTTCCAAATAAAAAGCTGAAATAAAATAAACACCTATCAAAGAGTGTTAGCTTAGCAGACATAATGTACAGGGGGGCACGGGGAGGGCTGTACAACACAGAGAAGACAAGTAGTGATTCTATAGCATCTTACTACACTGATGGACAATGACTGTAATGGGGTATGTGGTGGGGACTTGATGATGGGGAGAGTCTAGTAACCATAATGTTGCTCATGTAATTGTAATTAATGATACCAAAATAAATAAATTAATAAATGAATATTAAATAGTGAAAAAAAAGGGGGGGTGTTTAGCTCTCCTCTTGGCTGTTGCCTGCTGCCTGCAGGATTCATTTTGGACAAGCCCCTGCAGAACCCTCTGGGACTGAGGAGGTGTGAGGGGCCTCTTTTGTGCTCCCACTGTCCCAGACTCCGTTTTCTGATTACATCTATGCTTCATTCAGGCTAGCCTTGGAATTCCCTGAGAGCAGGGGTTCTGTCTAGATCATGGCAGAGCAGCCTCTCAAAACACACTGAACAAATCTCAGTGAAAGGTGGGGTGCAGTTCGATCCTACTTCATGTGGGGTTCAAACAAACTGTTAGTCTGGCTGTTGCAGACATACCTGGGTGAGGGACCCATGCAGAACCAGGAGTCATGTCTGCAGGGAGTTTCCTGGGGGGAACTGGAGAAGCACATACTGTTCAGGGCTGATCTGAGGACCTGATCCCCAAGACATAACCTTACCAAAGAGGCCTCTCAATGGGGAAAATGCTTTTACACCTTTGATGTCACTGGTATGCTCAGTGGTCACATTGACAGCGACATGGGATACCGAGCCACATCCCCCCAGCTGAGCACAGCAGACCCAGCTATGCTCAAGGATCAGGATGTGGGGGAATTTGTTGGAATGATGTGCAGTATGCTAGTAAGGATGGACATTCAATATGTCAGGAGGGATTTGCCAGAAATGGTTACTTTTTTCCTTCTCTTTCCTGCTGGGCTAAGGTTACAGTTGTGTGGATGATGCCATTCAAGATGCCAAGATGCTAACACTTCAGGATGGAGGGCTAGGGCACACGACGTCTCAGCATTCGAACAGTGCTGGCTCTGTCCTTTCTTTTTCACCTCTTGATGTGAGTACAGCGCCCCCTTGGGGTGAGGGACCTGTGTGACTGGGCAGGAAAGGGCTAGGGAAGCTCTGGGCCTGGCAGGAGGGTTCCAGATCCAGGAGGGGAGGCAGGGGCATGGCTGGCTGGTAGGGGGTGGGGCTTGACAGGGAGTGCCTTGCCCGGAAGGGAGAGCAAAGGGCCATGTCCTCTGCCTGCTCCACCCTGCTGACAAGAGTCCAGGTCACCAGGCCACCCTCTCTGTCTGGGGCCCTGGAGGGGTAAGTGCCCTTCTGAACCTACCTTGTCTTTTTCTGGAGCGGGTGATCGTGTGAGAACTCCTTTTCCTCTTTGGCCAGGAGCAGGGTCGTGGGGGGTGGGGGCCGGGGATGTCCAAACACTCTGCCACCCTCTGTTTATCCTTAGGCCAGACAGAAGCCACACCTGCCACCCTCTCAACACAGCACAGTCCTCCTGTGCTCCTCAGAGTTCCACGAGACTGGGGCAGTGAGGGGCAGGTCCAGACAGTCTCAGATCCTTCCCCTCCTGATATCAGCATCAAGACTAAAGCCAGTGGAAGAACCCTGAGTGGGGCACCTCATCCAGGCAAGCCCCAGATCACGGCTTCCACCTGTCACCCTGCAAGGAGCCCAGAATCCCCAGCAGCTGGAGCACTGGGGGACACCCAGACAGAGCTGTCGCTGGACCAAGCCCTCCAGGAGCGGGATGAAGCCATTGCCAAGTGAGAGGCACCTGCTTGTGATGGTGTAGATGGCAGCGGGTGGCTCACCCTCAGGGCTCTGTCCTGCTAGAGGAGGGGAGGGGCAAGTCAGGTATTTCTGGAAGGAAAGCCACAAAACACCTACCTTGTCACAAGGCAGCAGCTGGCGCCAAACACGCCCACCTCCAGGGCCCAGAACCAGACCTGCAGGGCTGGAGCCTCAGGCTGCTCTCTCTGCCACCTGCAGGAAGCAGGCAGTGGAGGCTGAGCTGGACACATGCAAGGCCAAGTTGCGAGCTGTGGAAGCCCAGCTGCTGGAGGTCCTGGAGGAGAAACTGAGGCTGAGGCAGGAGGTGGAGACCTGGGAGGTAGGGTGGGAATGCTGGCCAGGTCTGGGAGGCATGGGAAGAAGGGTACAGGATGGGCCCTGAACCTGCTCTCCTGCCCTCAGGAGGACATGCAGCAGCTGGTGAGGCAGCGGGTCGAGAATCAGCTGCAGAGAGAGTCCAGAGGTGCTCTGGGAGCCCCTGTGGAGCCTGGAACTGCCAGGACCCCCTGGGTCCGATTCCCCCTGGGTCGGTGGGGACGTTGGCGGTGAGAGAGCTCAGTCCAGAACCTTGGAAGCAGTGTCTTTATTCATTAAAGCTTGAGGTCTGACCACTGCACCCTTGTTGTTAGCCTCTTAGTGCTTGCCTAGGTCCTTCTGTGCAGAAAGGTGGAGTAGTCTGCAGGGCCTTGAAACCTGGGATCTCATGTCCCATCTTGCCAGCAACTCTTAGGCCAGAAAGTCTCGGATGGCAGTCACGAAGTCCTGTGGAGAGTCACTGTGGATCCAGTGGCCAGCGTTGGGCATGGTCTGCATCTGGGCCCGAGGGAAGAGCCGCCTAATCTCAGGGTGGTGGCTGGGACTGTCCACCGGAGGCAAGGCCACCAAAGGGGTGAAAGTAGGAAGATGCAGAGAAAAAGAGATGTGGAGGCAGAGCAGGGAGAGATGGAAAACCACATGAACCCGCAGGCCCAGCAGTGTTTCTGGGATCTCAGGTGTTCTCTGCCCACGTCCAAACCCTCCCCAAGGCAGGCTCCCCAAGCTGGGGGCTGGGTAAGGCATGCTTCTCCCACCACCAGCCTGTCTTACGGCACATATTGAGAGTTTCCACCCAGGAGGAAAAGGGTAGGCCCAAGGTAGGATTCTTGTCGTGGTGGGAAGGCCAAGATCTTCTCCACATGCTGGGCCAAGGCATCCAAGTTTACTCTCCACATGAAATGCCCATCTACCTCCACCAGATTGGTGAGCAGGAACTGCCGCACGGCCATGTCCTGTGTGGGGTGTTCCCTTGTAAGGCCAGGGGCTGCCACTCTTCCCTTGACAGATCGCAACCCTCACAGCCATTTAGGGGCTTGGGTGCATTACCTGGATAACAGGGCCGAGCTGCTTATCAGCCAGTTTTCTGGCACAGGAACGGGACACCTCATCAGGGATGTCTATGGCCCTCATGGCTGCAATGTAACTTGGGAAGTCTGAGCTGGATGTGGTCTCTACTGGGCTGATGTCCACGGCAATCAGCTGCTCCACCAGTTCTGGCTGTGGGAGAGAACCAGACTTAGGACCAGCCTTATGGCAGACAGTGTGTCTCAGGCATAGTTCCCAGATCCTGAACTTGGCCATCCAAGGCTCATTTGAGTCCCAAGTTGCCTGCTGGAAACTCAGGGTCTACACTGGATTGGAGGAAGCCTGGATAGGGATGGCTCACCCTCTGTAGTGCCAGCAGCATGGCTGTCTTGCCTCCCATGCTGTGGCCAATGAGGACACAGGGCACCAAGTCCAGCTTAGGCAGGAGGTCCTGTAGGTCCTGGCTCATGGCCTCATAGCTCATGTCTGGGCTGTGGGGACTGTCACCATGGTTCCGAGCATCCACTGTCAGCACCTGGGGTGTAGGGTGAAAGAGAGGCAGCGTTGGCATCCACATTTGGGGCAAACCTGCAGGTTGAGGGATGTGGAAAGCCTGGGAGAGATCTTGAAGTGGAAAAAGGGCCCAGATGGTGAGAAGGCCCAGTTCTTAGACTGAGGAGGACCAGAAGAACCTGGGGCCATTCTGCCAGAGAAGAGAAGGCTAAGGAATATAACCCCGTCTCTGAAGGTTTGGCTCATCAGGGTGGCCATCCCAGAGAAGGCAGATGCCAAGAATTTCCAAGTTGGGCTGCTGTAAGAGGTGGTAATCTCCCTGTCATCCCTAGTGAACAAGCAGTAACTGGTCCCCTTAGTGGGGAGGGTATTGATGCTTAGACTTTGGATAGCAGAGCCTAGCTCAGTGAGCACACTGATGGAAATATAGAACACGAATGAACGACTGGCTGGATGCAAGCATGAATTAATGGGGTCCACCTAGGGCCTGGGTCTGCCCTGCGACTTCCATCCTCAGAAGATCAACCTCTCATTTCATTTCTGATGAGACATCTGCCGCTCCTCAGCCAGGGCCCAGCTGCGAGGGCAGAGAAGTGGCCCCGCCTCCCGCGGGGGACCCGCCTCTCCCGGAAGCGCACCTTCCGGCCTGTCTGCTGGGCTAGGGCCTTGGCGACAAAGTTGAAGTTGGTTTTGCAGCCGAAGAGCCCGTGCAGAAAGACGAGGGCCGGGCGGGCCGCCTCCCCGTCCAGAAGCTTGTAGGAGAGCGGAACCGACCTGGAGGGAGGAGCAAGGGTGGGGGAAGGGTGCGAGTCGGCTGGGGAAGGGGGTTTAAGGGAGCAGCCTGGGAGGGGGCGGGCCCAAGGAGGAGGCAGGACCGTCGAGGGCCGGACCGGAGGGGGAGGGGCGAAGGACGGCCGCCCACCAGACGCCCTTGACTGACCTCGGCTTGGCGCCGCCTCGGCCGCTGCTGCTGAGTGTGATGGGCACTTTGAAGAAGCTGAGGCCGGAGAGACCAAGCCCCCTCTGGGAGAAACTACAGGAGTGGACCCAACGGAGCATGTCGGGGAGCTGCTACACGACGCGCACCGCGTCCGGTCCTCCTCGCCCCTTCTCCCGCCCCCCGCCTTCAATCAGGGCTCCGCCCAGTTCTGGCTGGAGTCCCGCCCTCCCGGCCCCTTTCGCTGAATTCCCGTTTATACTTACGTTCCCTTACGTAATCCCAGAGAACATACCGCCCCTCCAGCTCCGCCCCTTGCGCGGAACGTAAACCCCGAGGCCACCGCGCCGATAGGCGGGAGACCCCGTCTCTGGCCACGCCTTGGGCGGAACCAGGTGCCATGGTCCCCGCCCCCTAGAAGCTCCGCCCATCCCCTCCCCGCGCAGAATCTTCTCGAGGAGTCAGTGTCCTGCGGTCTGGGAGTTCTGTCTCCGCTGCTCTCGGGACATGCTGGGTTTGGGGCTCGAGCACCGGGAGGCTGAGGGCCAGGTCCTTTGCAAGCCGAGGAGACCCTGCGGTAGGGCTGCGCTCGACCCCGCTCGTTGCCGGCTCCCTTGGGCGAATGCCATACTTTATTTGCCGCGGGCGGGCGCGGGTGAGAGGCACCAGGAGTGGCTGCTGTCGCTATGGTGCCAGGTTGAAGGCGCCGTGCTGCAAAGCCGGGAGATCAGGCAGGCTGTACTGAGCATCTATTACCCGTCCTAAAGTCATCTACTCTAAATAAGTTAGGAAGGACTCTAGAGGTCGTCTCTAACCACCCTCCATTTTCGCTATTTACAGATGGGGAAACTGAGGCAAATGACTTGTACAAGAGGCAGAATCGGAACCTCAGTCTGGTCTGCCATTCCTGATGAGAGTCAAGGTGGGAGACCAGGTGTTTGTACTGGAGGGAGCATTCAGTTGAAATGGTTCACATATGCTCACACAGCAACACTCCCCGCCCCAATTATTTACCAACAGAGAAATAAACAATCGTTTTCCCATGCCCAGAACTCAGCACGTTCTGCGGAGAAATCACCTCCTTTTGGAAACCTGACCGGCTGCCATCCTCCCAGTCTAGGATGGTGTCGGCAGTGATGGCATTATCTCAGGTCTCAGCTAGCTTCCACTGCAGTCCAGCTCTCCACCATTGCAGGAGTAGCTGTTCTTTCTGTAGCATTCTGCTCAGAATCCTGTCCCCATCCCTAATGTTGAGCTGAAACCTCACAATATCCCAAGTTTCCCCCAGTCTGATACTACCTTCCTTTCCACCCACACTTCCCTCTTTTAATCCTCAACCATCCACCCCAAGAATTACACTGCAGGCCTCCCTTTAGGTCTTTACCCCAACATCTTTCCCTGCTGGGATGCTGTGGCTGCCTTCTAGATAGCCAGTTGCCTAAGTCCTATTCCTTTTTTAAGGTCCAGGATAACTGCCCCCCTCCTCCCCAAAAGCCTTCCCTGATTTCCCCAGTTGAGAGGAATCTCTTCCATTCCATGCTCTCAAAGCATTTGTGAGAGCCTGCAGTACAGTATGATAGACTGGGCTTTCTCTATGTCCTCCCTAGGCCGGGGGCTCTTGGAGGACCAGAGTTAATGTTTTATTCATCTGGTGCGAAGTGCAATAGTAATTTTACTGAGTGATCATGGAGTGATTTCAGGGCACTAGCTGAGGCTTATAGATGAAGGTTCATTTGGTGGCTGGCTCATTTCCCCCTCCAGGAGATGACAACTGGGATAGCCAGGGTTATAACACCCTCTCCCCAACCTCTTTAGGGTAGGTCTGGTGGAGTTAGGATTGTGGAAAGCATCCTAACTCTAAGGCCTTTTATGATCTAAGTTCATTTAGTAATGCCTTGCCTTATAAAATGGCCCCCATCTTGAATCTTCCTGGCAGGTGTTTTGTTCTAATCTGAAGAGGGCTTTGAGGTCGCTGGGGAATCTAAACACACCAGGTGGTGTGATCATTTGTTGCCAGCAGTTATTTGGGGAGTGGTGAATTCATCTGAGCCCTGGATGGGGCCTGGTCCAAGGCCTGGAGAGGTGGGTCCTTGGAGGAGGCCATCAGGCAGAATTTTTTTTGGAATTGGTGAATAGAGGGGAAGGGGATTGACTAGTGTTGGCAATCCATAGTGTTAGTATTTCAAACCGCCCCTACTCCCATCCCAAACTGCTATCTAGCCCGGTAACCTGAGCCTGGTCCACGAGCCTTGACTTTGCTAGGATCCAGAGCCTTGAGTCTAGGGGCAGACGCAGTCTTGAGACATTCCTGAGTCCTGGGCCCCAACTGGGTCACGTGGCTGGTTACGGCCAGGCAACAAGCAAAAAAACCAGTCGACTTGAGGGGGTGTCAAGTCCTGGAGGGGCGGCCTTCTAGAGCCTCTGATATGCTGGGGTGATGTAGGGCAGAAACGGGGTGCGGAAGCCGGCGCTATCTCCGCGGGGAGGTCAACACTCGCCTCCGTGTTTCCCAGCAGTCCGGACCTCCCGGGGAAGTGGAAGGGTGTTTAGAGCTTCATTTTACTCCTGAGAGAATAAACAGCCGCGGGAGGTGAAGTAGCTCGGCTCCAAACCGCTCAGCCGTGCGTGACCCAGCCCGAATTCCTTCCCGGGCTCTGTGACTCCTCCTGCTGAGCTCTGAGTATTTCGTCATCACCCTGCTGGCTGGGCACTGAGGGTCCGAGGGGTGTGGCCTCCTGCGGCAGGAACGCTGCGCCCTGGTGGCGGCGGCATTGAATGGGTTAAGGTGGCGAGGCGGCAGGTGTCCCGTCACCACACCTGGCTCAGTATCGGTCACGTGGCCAGGGTTTCACCTGCCCCACTGAGCAGGGACAATTACGCCGCTGTTCCGCTGTTGGTCGCCATGGTGACAGGAGTGCGCCTGGGGAGGTCAGCAGGGCAAATTCCTGCCGACCGGCCGGGTGGGGCAGGGGAATATGTTGTGCTGGGGCAGCCTAGGGCTTCCCGAAGACCCCTCGAAGTTTTCCCAGGGGGCCCCTAGGTGACTTCCCACCCAGGCTCCTCCCCGTCCCTGTCCCTCCCCTCTCCAAACCTAGCTTCTGTCTTCTCAGATCCTGAACCTGGGTCTATTCATCCGCCAGGACTTTCATATACATTATCTTGTTTAATCCCGGCAGCAGCCTTTCCCACGTGGGAATGATAAGCTTCTGGGCCCCCACCAGAGGCGGTGGGCTGTTTGAGAACATTCCCTTCTTCCTTCAAAAACCAAACAGATACCTTTGCACACAGTCCTGAACAAAACAACAAACTGCTAACCAGGCAACCGCAGATTGTGTATTTATTTTCTTCAGAGCCTACTGGGAAGGCCCCTGGGGCCCCCAGTGGAAGGTGGGAATGCACGGTCATCGATCATCTCATAGTTCTAGTGTTAGGAACACCTCTAGTGTCAGGACCTCTGCCACCCCAGGTCTGCCCACGTCTCCCTTCCAGGCTTCCCACCCAACCCACTAATCCTGCAGCCCCTATTTCATCCACTCACTCCTCTGTTTCAGAAACTCCCACAGCCCTGCTAATAGCAATGCTTGTCAACTTACTACCTCCAGACCTGTGCACCCTGTGTCCCGCTTATAGTCTTATCTTCAAGCACAGATTCTTAAAGTTGGCGGGGTGGGTGGTGAGGGCGGGGACGATTAATGAGGAGTGGAGGCGATGGAGAGGAGTGGAGGTGGTGGAGGGGGTTCTGTGAATTTTGAAACCCGGCAACCTTCACTTCTCTGGAGGAACACTAGCCTGCGGGATCCATATGGCTCCCTCTGCCTGCATTTGGGAGCCTTTATTTATGGAGCACCTACTATGTTCCTAGCACTGGAGATGCGAGGGTGAACCCAGATCCACTCATAGGCCTGACAGTCTGGTGTGGAAGATACTAACTGATGTGTAATTATTATACCCAGAAAATATGCAAAGGAAAGGGAAAGCGTAAAACTGAGGGATCTGGTCCTGTGGTCAAGTCAGCGGCTCTGCAGAAGAGATGCTTGAATGGAGATCTGAGAAATGAGTAGGAGTCGGTCAGATGAAGGGGGTGCAGTGGAGAAGGCTGTTTCCCAAAGCGGGAATGCCGAGGGCAGTGGTGAAGTCATCCCATCTCCCAAGACAGAATCTTAGGAGTCATTCCTGATGCCCCCTTCTTCCTACCTCCCTAACCCAGCCCAATCCCTCACCTAGTTCTATTGATTTATCTCTCTCAAATAGCTCTGATATCCATTCACTCCTCTCCATCTCCGCGGCCCCATTTCTCCCCAACATTGCCACCTCCTCACCGGGCTTGGCCATTTTGGCTCCTCCAGTCATTTCTCTACGTGATCCTTTCTATGTATTTCTATGTTAATCTAGTTTGTTCCTTCCTATGTTTTCCTGTTTTTCTGGGCTCTGGATTTTGTGCTTATTGCCCTTGGAGATGCATGTGACAGACCTAAGAGTAGAAAATCTGGTTTCTGTGTTTTAAAAGCTGAAGCCCTGAGGGGAAGGGAATGCCTCAGCAGATGCAAGCATCATGGCCAAGGATGGGAGGGGTTTGCCACCTGCTTCTTGGCAGGATCCCCAGAAGGAACGGCTTATGGGTTTACTGTTTTTCACCATAGGCAGCTTGCAAAATACTCCCTGGTGCCGAAGCAGCACACACAGTGTAAGCCACAGGTTAGGATGGAAGGAATCATAGAGAAGGATGAGCTATCTCAGCAAGGGTCACCGTTGCCTGAAGGCTGCGTGCTGTCCAGCTTCTCCCTACCCCCAGCCTCCTCCTCCACAGCTCAGCAAATTTGGTGCTGCTGAATATTCTGGAATTGTGTCTCAACCTCGGGAGGACTGAACTTCAATTCGTTTCCAATTGCCTCAGCAGGATGCAGCATCAAGGAAATAATGTCTCACATCTAAGTTTGTGAACTGACTTTCATAGTTGCCACAGCGCCACACACATTTGTCCACAACTGACTTTCTTTTTAAATCAACAATAATTCATTTAACAAATATTTACTGAGCATCTGCTAATGCCAAGTATGAATTTTAGAGCTAGGGATATGGCAATGACACGGCCCTGTTCTGCCAGGAACACAAAAAATCAAAACCAAAAAAAAAAGCCCCTGGCTTTTAAAATCTCCAGTGGGGATACAGGCCATCAACAAAAATCAAAGAAATAAATATGTAAGTACAAATTGTGGTAAGTTCAGTGATCAGGGTACTGTGCTTGATGATAATTGGGGTGGGAGATATTAAATAAGGAAAGACCTCAGGTAAGGTAATATCTGAAGGATAAGAAGGAAGCAGTCATATTGAGGTAGAGCAGGGACATGGGACAAGCATCATGATAAATTTTTCCTGCCTATCATGAACAATGCCAAAATATTAACAGTATAGTAAGAACAGGAGGGACTCCATCTAAAGGCCAAGATTCCATTTCAAAAACCAGAGAGTCAGGAGGTAAGATTCCTAACATACTTTATGGTATTTAGCCAACAACTGACCCTGTCTTTCAGGCAGGGCAAGCAATCCTAAATGGTATGTCTCCACTTCTTGAGGGTAACCACTCTGTTGGAGAACCAAAGGATCAATAAATTCCTGTGTTAAGTTAATCTTACAGAATATCTAAAGGACTGACTATGAATGATGACATAATGTCTCTCACTAGAGATGGACATCATGAAACCACATGTCAAGCCCATGTACCCTTGGCCCTTTGCCTCATCTTGAAATACTCAAAAGACAGGAATCCTAAGCCTTTAAGTGCACCCCCTCTGAGGTTACTGCACTCCCCTTTCTTTGAGTGTACTTTGCCTTAAACAAAAACTTCTTGCTGCTCAACTTACTGCATTTTGTCTCCATGCTGTTCCAAGTCTGTCAGGAGGTTAATAAGAGACCTCTTTCCTGGTGGTAGGCGTCTTTGTTACTTTGCTATTTCATTCAATTTTATAGACTTAAGGCCTTCACTCTTTCTGTTCTACTTGAGACAAGGAGGAAAGGGCTACTGAGATCTGATTTGGG